TGAAATGTCACGGCCACATTTTCGAAATTCACGGCAACAACTTTCGAAACCACATGGCACACTTTAAAAAGTCGCGGCATACTTTCAAAATTCACCGCACACTTTTAAAAACCACAGCACACTTTCAAAATTCACTGCACACTTTATAATCTCACGGCACACTTTCAAAATTCCCGGCAACAACTTTTGAAATGTCACGTCAAACTTCCAAAATCACAACTTCCGCCGTGGAAAGTACGTTTCCGCCGTGAGGTTCAATTTTTAAAACTTTTGGCCGCTGGTGGGAACATGTGAGTTGCTAAAATACAACCACTTCAGCCTGGGCTACATAGGTCGGGCTAGGAGACCTAGCCATTGCCCAGTCCAGCTACCCGGTCACACGACTGTAGTCTAGGCGATCGTTCTCTTTCACGTTAAGCTAGGCCTATGCAGAATATGACCCTGGCCTAGGCCCCTTCTCTCTATGCCTGGCTACTGAATTGTACTGAATTATTATTTAATAAACTAGAAATTGCAAATTGCAAGTGAAGTGCTGCAAAGTACAACTGCATATAAATGTTCTTCGAACAAAATTATTTATGCGAGTCAAGTGAAATTAATGAATAATAAAACTATAACAAATAATATGAGACACGACCCATTGTCTATATTAGAACACTTCTCATTGGGTAACAAAGTCGTAATTTTTCATTTTTGTCAAAAAGTGTCTATAGTGTGGTGAATTATGAGTTTAGGTTTTTTTTAATAAAGTTTCAAAAATGTCTGTGTATGTGGAAAATGTAGTTGATTACCATAGGTTACAATTTTTATTTTGAAGACTGCATGGTCTAGGAAGTGTACATTTTTTTTATGGGTCAAGTTTCCAAGGTCGGGTTTTCTAGAAGCGAGTTGACTGCCAAAGAGTGTTGCCAAAGTGCGAGCCAGCGTGTTATTTGATCACAAGTGCGAGACATATCACAAGTGTGAGCCGAGGGAGCGTGCTACTTATGGTGACGACATGACAAGCATAATTTCAGCTGTACTACGTAGGGCCTTTATTCCTAATCTTCAAGACAAAGAGTGGGCCCTGGTAAACACGAAGTTTAGGCTAATGATCGTTTTTATTTTTGTACTGCTTTAAAAAAAAATTGCCATAGCTACAAGTATATTCCAGAAGAAAAAGGGTGACGGAAAGCTAATAAATAATAATTCAATTAGATATTACCTTTCTCATATGTCTGTATTGTACTGTAATTGTATAAAAGTTATTTATTAAATAATAATTAATATTCAATACAGGAATCTCCAGTAGCCAGGCCTAGAGAAGGTGCCTATGCCAGGGTCTTACAACATATTCTGCATAGTCCAAGCAATTATTTTTTTTAAATCAGTCAAAAAATAAAAACGATCATAAATCTAAACTTAATGTTTACCAGGGCCCACTCTTTGTCTTGAAGATTAGGAATAAATTAATACGTAGTACAGCTGAAATTATGCTTGTCGTGTCGTCACAATAAGTAGCCACGCTCCCTCGGCTGAAGTGGCTGTTTTAATTTTAAAAAAGAAGGGGGAGGGGGGCTGGTAATCACACGGCATAGCAAGATACAGTGCCGTACAAACAGTAAGGCAAAATTAGCTAGTCTATGTCCCTGTTTTTTGTTTTTGTTTGTTTGTTGTTTTTTTAAAATTAGTTTCCCTGGAATATCATCAATGCAAAGAATAAAGTAGGCCTAATAAATAGGCCTATAGCTTGTCTTATTTTAGGGGTAGGGGGCCGTAATCATAGAAAAAAAAACCAATAATGGTATCAGGATAATACTACTTCACACGGGCTACTACATAACATACTCAGTCTATGAATTTTTTTCCAATGAAGAATTATACTGAAAGAGACAATGGGCATAATAAATCAAAATTACAAGTTTTACAACATGATTGCTGATCTTCCTTTCAAGCCATGATCCTTACTAAGGTTAAGTTAGGATTTATCATATCTATTGTTTCATTGCTTTTTAACAAAATTGCCATGGCCATAGGCCTATATTCTAGAAGAAAGGGGTGACGGAAAGTTAATAATAATCCATGATATTAACTTTTCCCATGTCTGTATTGTAATGTAATTGCATAAAAGTTATTTATGAGCCAGGCATAGAGAGAAGGGCCCTAGGCCCGGGGCCATACTCTGCATAGGCCTAGCTTAACGTGAAAGAGAATAAGGCCTATTACAGTGTGACCGGGTAGCTGGACTGGGCATCGGCTAGGTCTCCTAGTCCGACTTATGCAGCCCAGACTGAAGTGGTTGTATTTTAGCAACTCCCATGTTCCCACCGGCGGCCAAAAGTTTTAAGAATTTAAATTTCTATCACTTCCGCCGTGAGACAATCACTTCCTCCGCCGTGAACCTCACGGCGGAAGTTGTACTTTCCACGGAAGTTGTGATAAAGTTTGACGTGACATTTCAAAAGTTGTTGCCGTGAATTTTGAAAGTGTGCCGTGGGTTTATAAAGTGTGCAGTGAATTTTGAAAGTGTGCCGTGGTTTTCAAAAGTGTGCGGTGAATTTTGAAAGTATGCCGCGACTTTTTAAAGTGTGCCGTGTGGTTTCGAAAGTTGTTGCCGTGAATTTCGAAAATGTGGCCGTGACATTTCGAATGTTGTTGCCGTGACACTTATGGGCCACCGTTCGGTCCTCGAGGTCACGTGAGCAGCTTCATTTTCGAAGTCGCAACAAAACACACGTGGGCTGGTGAAACTTTGCAGCTCGATGTCAGGTTCCCGGTGGCTTGTACCGTTATAGAGAGAATATTAATACCGCTATAATTTTAAAATAAAAACTTGTGAAAATAATTTATGCTATAAAAAACACAAGTTTACTTGAAGTTGTAATAATTATTTTACTGGAATTTAACTGTAGAAAGGCATACGTCATCTGGGCATACGTCATCACGATATGTTTTGTTTATAAAACGTGGTGCGCCGTGATGTTGCATGCTTCGCACAGTGGGCTGTGAGTAGTAATGACTTAGGCCTAGAATTACCAATATTTTTAGCCTAATACCGACTGTTTTTGGTCAACGTAATAATAGAATGATTGTTTAAAAAAGATAAATATACTCAATAAGTGTTTTATTTTATTAAACTTAAACTAAACTGATGTTGAAAATTTA